AGATGGCGTCTGCTCTGTCACCCAGGCTAGAGTGCAGTGGCATAATCTCAGCTCACTACAACCTCCGCTTCCCCAGGTTCAAACAATTCTCCTGCCTCAGCCTCCCAATTAGCTTGGATTACAGGCATAGGCCACCATGCCCAACTAATTTTTGTATTTTTGTAGACAGGGTTTCACCATGTTGGTCAGGCTAGTCTCAAACTCCTGACATCATGATCGGCCCGCCTCGGCCTCCCAAAGTGCTAGGATTACAGGCATGAGCCACTGCACCTGGCAAGAATTTTTTTTTTTTTTTTTTTTTTGAGGCAGAGTCTCCCTCTGTTGCCTAGGCTGGAGTGCAGTCATGTGATCCTGGCTCACTGCAACCCTGGCTTCCTGGGTTCAAGCAATTCTCCTTCCTCAGCCTCCCGAGTAACCACCCAGATAATTTTTCTACTTTTAGTAGGGGCAGAGTTTTGTCATGTTGGCTAGGCTGGTCTCAAACTCCTGACCTCACATGATCCTCCTGCCTCAGCCTTGCAAAGTGCTGAGATTACAGGCTTACACCACAGTGCCCGGCCAAAAAAGGAGAATTTGTTATCTGGCTCTAGGCGTGTCTCATGGAATCTCCAGACAGAAATGCAACCAGGTCTCAAGGAGAACTTGAATCAAGGCCTGGTTCACTCCTGGAGTCCCTCTCTCTCTCATTCTTGCCCCTTTCGGCAGCCCAGCTTCCCCTTGCCAGTTCCGCTGGCAGAGGGCACCTTGGCACCTCTCATTAGTAGAAGCCCCTAAGCCAAAATGAAATAGTCCAATTTTATATTGCCAAAATTGCCAAAAAACAATTTTTTCAGCCCAGCTTGAGTCTGAGGCTCTATCTAATCAACTATAGCCACAGTGGTGGGTCACAAAACATGACCTCCTTCCTGGGATTCTTCCTTGCAGGAGGATGGTCATGGTGAATGGGACCAATACTTGGAAAGATGTCTATCTCGGGGAACTATCACTCACTGAGAAGGGGGTGGGTGCCTAGAGGCATTGGAAGCCTGTAGGTGCGCTGTGCCTTATGTCCATTGTCCCCTGAGACTGCCCTCAGGACAGCAGGAACAGCGCCTCTCCACTCACCACTGTATCTCCAGCACCTGCACAACACCAGGTCCACAGGAGGGATAAGATCAGTGGATGCTGAATGAATTATTTCTTTTTTGTTGTTGTTTCTTAAGACAGAATCTTGCTCTGTTGCCCAGGCTGGAGTGCAGTGGCACAATCTCGGCTCACTGCAAACTCCACCTCCTGGGTTCAAGCGATTATCCTGCCCTAGCCTCCTGAGTAGCTGGGATTACAGGCGTGAGCCACTGCACCTGGCAAATGTTTTGTATTTTTAGTACAGATGGGGTTTCACCATGTTGGCCAGATTGGTCTTGAACTCCTGACCTCAAGTGATCCACCCACCTCAGCTACCCAAAGTGCTGGGATTACAGCTGAGAGCCACCAGGCCCAGCCTAATTAATACCTCTACAACTATATAAACTAAGTCCTGTCATTCCCATCTTACAAATGAAAGAGACTGAGACACACGGAGATTAAGCAGTTTTTCTCCCATTTCACAGCTAGAGCTGGGGCTTGAACCTTCAAGATCAATCTAGCTCCAAATCCAGTGTTCTTTCTACTATTCATTCATTCACTCATTCATTCAACAAATGTTTATTGAACACCTACTCTATGCCAGTCCTATTCCAGGAGGTAGGGATAGGACAGTGAACAGACACAATACCTTTCCTTCATGAAGCTTACAATCTAGGAGATAAAATTCCAGATTGATAAGAAAGATCCACAGCATGTCAGAAAGTGATAGTGCTAAGGAGAAACGTAAGGAAATAAAAGAAATAAGGGCAGAGGACAGGAAGTACTGGGGAGGTTGCAATTTGAGACAAGGTGGCCAAGAGGTCTCCCTGAGAAGAAGCCATTTGAGAACATTCCTGAAGGAGGGAGGGTGGGAGGGAGGGAGCTGTGTGGGTCATAGCATTCCAGGCAGATGAAGCTGCGGGTAAGGAGGCTCTGAGGTAACAGGAATTAAGCCAGAGAGGGCCTTAAGGCAACGGGCGGGCTCTGTTCCCCTGAGGAAGGTGGGCAGCTGGAGGAGCTCTCCACCTCCCGACTGGATCACAGCCACTGGGTTGAGAACAGCCTGTGTTGGCAACACGGCGCAGAAGCCTGGAGACAGCCCCACTGCCTCTGCGTTCTCCCACAGGACTCCCATTCCCCACCTTCTCGTGGATCTGCGGGTGGTTCATCCACACATTCCACTCCAGGCACGCAGCAACCTCCTACTCCTGACCTTCACTCGTCCATGTGAATTACTAACCCAACAACCTCTGCTTGGAGGACAGAGTTCAACAGCCCTGTGAGGAGCCTGCCTTTCCACATGATTCCACGTTACCTCATAAGACCCAGAACTAGAACAGAAACTTGCCCAATGTTTATACCGATGAAGCTTTTAGTTTTTTTTTCTCCCATCCAAAAAATTCCCTTCAAATCCCCAAGGGAAGGGGAAAAGGGAGGAAAATGTCATGGGTCGCCTGCTGCAGCTCTGCCTGAAACAGCTGGCCTATGGGTCTGGCTGGGACTGGACCCTCCTGGGGACCAGGGTGGGTAAGTAAAGGTCAGATGTGTGCAGGCGGAATCTGCAGCCAGCAAGCCCTGTGGGGCCCCTGGCTCCCTTGCTCCTGTGAGTCAAGCCCCTTTATTATAAAGGGGCTACCTTTATAATAATGCTCTGCAAAGTGGCAGGATGAACACCTGCAATGCCACCCCATTGTCTCCCCACCCTGCGCCTCCCAACCACCCTCCGATCCAGCCTGCCCTCACCTTTTTGGAGGGGAAGGACATCTAAAGCTGTGCCATCCAGTAAGGACACAGCCACATGACAGATGTGGTGCCTGGGCATTTGCAATGTGGCTGGAACAAATGAGAGGCACTGTAAGTGTAAAATACTAGCCACCAAATTTTCAAGACTTTCGGTTCACGCCTGTAATCTCTGCACTTTGGGGAGCCAAGGCAGGAGAATCAGTTGAATCCAGGAGTTTGGGAACTGCCTGGAAAATAGAGCAAGGCCCCCATCTCTATTTTTAAAAATAAAAATAAAATACCCTGTGCAAAATAAACTGTAAAATAGCTCAACAACGTATAGTGTGTTTTGGAATTAAATAAAATATATTAATTTAACTGTACTAATCTTGTGGGTTTCTTTTTCATTTTTGAATGTGACTTTTCGACAAGTTTAAATTATATATGTGGCTCATGCTATCTTTCTAGTGGACAGAGCTGTTCTAGAATTATGACTGGCCCCCAGTCATCCCCATGGAACAAAGCGAAAAGATGCGAATGCAGGTCAAGCACAATTATTTTGTGAACTGATAATGGCAAGATAAGTGTGATCTTGTTTTTCTTTTCTAGTTCACACATCAGGAGGAGAGAGCAAGAGACATCCCAGGGGCTGGTCCAGGAGATGGGCAGCTTATACCCGCTCCAGCCAGCCTGCCCTTCGCCAGTCCGGATGGTAGTGTGTCTGTGGTGCCAGATTTGCCTATTACAAGCTCCAACGATGTCCCTGTTAAACTTCAGAACTCTCCATGGGCACCTTACACAGTCCAAGTGCCTCACTCTGGCCTTCAAGGCGGTGAACAGCCTGAGCCAAACTTGTCTTTCCAGCTTCATCTCACTTGCTTCCTGCTCAGAACCCCCACAGCTGTCCGTTCCCGCTTTCGTTTCATCTGCTAATCAATCATTCAACAAATATGTATTGATTACTTCCTACATATTAGCTACTGAGGTCATGATGATTAGCAAAAGAGGCACTGTCCCTGTACTTGCTGAAGACCACACATCTAGCAGGGGATGACAGGTAAGTACACAAAAGGCACTTAAGCACGTTGCGGTAAGAGTAGTTGTTGGGGAAGCACAGAGGCCATGGGTACACCAAAGAGGCACCTAAACCAGCCTGCAAGTCAGGGAGGGCTTCCTGGAGGAGGTGGCATCTCCATTGAAGAATGCAAGTCTCGCAGACTGAGGCTGGAAGTGGCAAATATCCCAGGCAAGGGACAACTCTTGAGTTCAAAAACTGGAAGAGCAGAGAGGAGAGCAGGGTGCCAGTGGCAAATGACTGGCCTGGTGCATATGGCAGGGGCTTTCTGAGCCTTGTGAAGGAGTGTGGCATTGATTCTGAAGTGTTTATTCTAGGAGCTCCTGTCTCCCACCCGAAAGACCTTCATCCCCTCACCGCCCCCACTCCACTCCCTGTTCACTCAAATCCTGCTTCCCCAGCAGGATCCAATCTGTGGGGTAAGCCAGGCATTTGAGGCTTTGAGAGAGAATGAGCATGGGGCTTGTGGAGGCTCCAGCCCAGGGCCAAAGAATGGAGGTACTGGAGCTGCGTTTGGGGGTCCGGTGGTGTTGGAATTTGCGGCTAAAGCTGAGTTTGAAGTTGGTGTTGATTTTGGGGGAGTTGAGGTTCGGGCTGAAGGTGAGGTTGGGATCCAGGATCTTAGTCAGAATTTGGGTTGGAGTTAGGAGTTGGGGGCTGAGGTTTCTAGCCAGATTTGGGGTTCGATTTGCAGCTGGAACTGGAATTGGGTTTGGAAACGGGGCTGAGGGTTGGGGCTGAGACATGCGGCAGGAGCTGGGGCCGGGGTGAAAGCTGGAAGTTCTAGCTAGGGTTTACAACTGCAGCTGGAGTAGGGAGCTGGTTTTGAAACTGGAGCTAAATCTAAATTAGAGTCAGAGCTGGGGGCGGGTTGGCGCCCAGGCTCTGGGGCAGATAGACGACATTACTCCTGCTGTCCAGGTCTGCGAATTGTGTTCCGAGCCCTAACAGCAGCAGACAGAAGCCCCTCCCTTCCCAGGAATGCCTCTGCCAAGCAGAAGGAGCAGTGCCACGTCAGCCAATCGGCTCAGGCCCTGCCCTGGAAACGACACCTGTTCATCCTCCTCCACCCACCCTCACCTGAGTGCAGGTTAGGCAGGTGAAGTGTGTCCCCGGAAACAGAGCTGGAGTGCCCCACCTGCTTGGCCCTGCCTTCTCGGATCGGATTCAGCACGTCCAGGCTTCTCGTGAGTTCCCCAATAGTCCCCCCACGCCCCACCGCCCCCACCTTCTCCCACTAGCTTTTCCTCTGAGAACCTCCACCCCCACCCCCAGCCTGGCCCCCACTGGCTCAGCACACCTGTGCAAGCACTTTCAGACCAGCGAAGCCACAGCCCAGGGGAATGCTGGGACTGACTCCCTGGCCACGCCCACCTCCCCCACTTCCTTGGGGGCATCGGCACCAGCCCCCGCCCACCTGGAGGGTAGGGATCAGCCTCTGCAGAGGAGTCTCGGGGAGGACAGATACCTCGACAGGATGTAACCTGTGCACGGCCACATAGTCATATCCCCAGAATGACCCAGGACCTCCGTCTTCTGCACTGTCCTGCCTTGGAGGGGGTAAATCGTTTTCATGTATTCAAAAAGCACGCTTTGAGCATCTATGCAGGATCTAGGCCCCATTGGAATTCTGAAACAAAGATGTGAGGTGACTCATGCCCACCCCTCAAGATAAATGTTATTGTTCTCACTTTTCAGAAAAGGAGACTGAGACTCTAAGAGATGAAACCCTCAGGCTTCCTGGCCTCTCCCCCAGGCCCCTCTCCTGGGCTCTGTAGGGTCCACACCCACACTTAGCACAGGGACTGGGCCTGTTTGCTTCTGTCTCTGTCTCCTGCTGCAGACTGGGGCTCCCTGAGGGCAGGGACCACATGTGCTTTATTTCTGCCCAGTGTGAGACATGCTGTCCTCTGGAGGGCAGGTTAAATGAGCAACCACTGTTAGGTGCCTGGCCAGGCTCCTGCCAGTGGGAAGGACTGGAGCTGGGGTTCAAATCCAGAGCCCTCCTTCTTCCTTTGCTCCACTTTAGAGGAATCATGGAGGAGGATGGCATGGGGGAATGGCGAGTGTGGAGAAGAGCGAGGGGAGCAGGAAGACCAGTGAGGAGGTGGAGGCGGGCCATGGAGACCCCAGGGAACTGGCTGGAGAAATGTTTAGAGGTGGAGCCCGGGGACAGGACAGGGATTAGATACAGCAGAGGGAGGAGGAGCTGGCTGAGAGGGTGGTGATGCCATGCCTGAAGTGAGGAAGCAGGAGGAGCAGGTTGGGGTAAGATAACAAGCTTGGGTTGGGACCTGTTGCATCACAGGGACATCGAGGTGACAGTTGACTCAGGAGGGAGGTCTAGGTTGGAGAGAGGAATTTGGGAACTGGCAGCTTATATCACCAAACTTGTGGCTGTGAGATTGGATGTGATGTTAGGGGAGGGAGGGTGTTAGGGGTCTGGCCCTAACCAACAGAGGAGGAGGAGACACAGCCCTAAAAGAGAAGAGTCGAGGTCAGCCAGGCTTCTGGTTCCAGAAGGGTTAAGTCATAAGCACCCCCTCCATCCCCACAGCTCCCCCCCAGGAACCAGTGGTGACAGCTGAGGCCATGTGAGTCAGATCCTGAATGAGGCTTTATCTCTGGCTGATCATCCCATCATCCACCGTGGCACCAGCTCCCTCAGCCAGCCGCGATGGGACAAGCGACTGAGAGAGCCAGAGGCAGAGAGCTCAGGGCCTGGGTGAGGGGATTCCCTGGAGGGTTTGCAGGGGTGGGGAGGGGTACTCCATGGGCAGGGCACTCTCCTGGGGTCATTGAGAGGCATTCCCAAGGGACAGTGCTGCAGAAGGGGCTTTCCCAGGGGAGATTCGGGGTGACACCAGGGTGGATTCTCAGGGACCATCCCAAGGCTCTCAGGTGCGACCATGGGGGACAGGTGGGCTGGGAAGGTAAGACTGTAATCATTCCCCTACAGGTGATGGTGACCATATCCTGGACTGTGAGAGGAATGGGACTCCGGGCCTGTAACTGCCAAGCAGGGGGCAGGGGCTCCAGGCTGTGATCTGGACCCTCTGACCCCTGACACTCACCTCCTGCCCTGACCCCTGCCTGACCAAGCCATGTCTGAACAGGAGGCTCAAGCCCCAGGGGGCCAGGGGCTGCCCCCGGACATGCTGGCAGAGCAGGTGGAGCTGTGGTGGTCCCAGCAGCCGAGACGCTCAGCGCTCTGCTTTGTCGTGGCCGTGGGCCTCGTGGCAGGCTGTGGGGCGGGCGGCGTGGCACTGCTGTCAACCACCAGCAGCCGCTCAGGCGAATGGCGGCTAGCAACAGGCACTGTGCTTTGTCTGCTGGCTCTGCTGGTGCTGGTGAAACAGCTGATGAGCTCGGCCGTGCAGGACATGAACTGCATCCGCCAGGCTCACCATGTAGCCCTGCTGCGCAGTGGAGGAGGGGCCGATGCCCTCGTGGTGCTGCTCAGTGGCCTCGTGCTGCTGGTCACCGGTCTGACGCTGGCCGGGCTGGCCGCTGCCCCTGCCCCTGCTCGGCCGCTGGCCGCCATGCTGTCTGTGGGCATTGCTCTGGCTGCCTTGGGCTCGCTTTTGCTGCTAGGCCTGCTACTGTATCAAGTGGGCGTGAGCGGACACTGCCCCTCCATCTGTACGGCCACCTCCTCCACCCACAGTGGCCATGGCAGCATCTTCAGCATCTCAGGACAGTTGTCTGCTGGCCGGCGTCACGAGACCACATCCAGCATCGCCAGCCTCATCTGACGGAGCCAGAGCCCTTCTTCCCATACCTGCCTCAGCGTCCCCAGAGCCGAGCCAGGGCGTGGATGCATGTGGACACTGAGTATGTGCGAGTGCGTGTATGCCCCCAGCGGGGTCAGCCCTTCTGTGGGTGTGTGGCGTGTGCTTAAGAGCACACGTGTTCCCACACATCCATATCATGGGAAGGTCAGTGCGTGCCTTCTGGGACCTGGGTGTTTGTGTCCGTGGAACTGCCTGTCTGTGTCTCAGGTCAGCAGGCCCAGAAACACCTCATGCTGACGATGCCTGAGCCCCATTTCTAAAACTCCTCAAATCCAATCCTGTCCTTTAACATCCATCAGGGATTTCCATGGGGGTGACCGGTGCCCACCCAAGACCACACCCGTGGTGCGGTCTTTCTAACTGCTGGCCAGGCAGAAAGAATATGGGCTGTGGAGTAAGACAGACCTGGAGGGACTCCTCCACTGTGCTAGCAGGTGGGGGAGTTGGGCGAGTGATTTCACCTCCCCAGCCTCTGTTCCTGGAGGTTCGTGGCTGTCGTGGTTGTGGTCATTGATTGTGAGGTGGAAGTGTCATTGTGTATCGAAGGCGGGGCTTGTGGCAGAGATGCAATAAAATGGCCGCTGCCGTTGTCACTGTCTCCACCTCATGATCTCACCTCAGAGGCCCTTCCTCCCCTACCCCATGCCCCACCCCGTCCAAAGCGAGCTCCTCACTCCTATCTCAGCCTCATGCCTTGAAGGTCTCCTCAGCCAGGCCTGTGGTTTCTCCTCTTAGGTAGGGAGAGGACTGAGTGGATGGATGCCAGCTTTGGGAAGGTGGTGGGTTTCCAGGCCCAGGGAGGGGTGAGGGACCTGAGTCCTTCGCATTTGCTCACATGCTGTTTCAAGATGAGGCCTTACGTGTTGGGTGTTATCAGCCGGTTTCTCTGGTGTCTGCACCTCCCTTCGGCTGTGCCTCTTCCGTGGATTCCCTGAGGGCGACTGGGAGGCTGCAGCTGCCTGCCCCACCTCTGAAACCAGAACGTCCCGAGTCTGGGCAGTGGCTGCACCCACTGGCCTGCTCTGGGTTCCTGGGCATGGGAGAGGTGTTTTTGTTTTGTTTTGTTTTGATTTTTTGTGATGGAATCTCACTTTGTTGTCCAGGCTAGAGTACAGTGGCACGGTCTCAGCCCACTGCAACCTCCACCTCCCGGGTTAAGGTGATTCTCCTGCCTCAGCCTCCCAAGTAGCTGGGATTACAGGCACCTGCCACTGCGCCCAGCTAATTGTTGTTGTATTTTTAGTAGAGACAGGGTTTCACCACGTTGGCCAGGCTGGTCTCAAACTCCTGACCTTATGATCCTCCCACCTAAGCCTCCCAAAGTGCTGGGATTACAGGCATGAGCCACCAGGCCCAGCCGGGGAGAGGTGTTTCAAACCCCCTGGGGTGGTGAGAGTCACTTCCTGCTTGGAGTCCAGCCCAGGAAGATCTTCCCTCCTATAGCGTGCAGTGACATTTCCTGGGTGATGGAGATCCTCAGGAAGCGCACTCAAATGTTTCATCACTTCCTGCTTCTCGAGGTGCAGACTGCATGAAGCCGGTGGACGATGCCCAGAGAGGCAGGGAAATGAGACCTATCTCCAAAGAGACATTACAGTAGAGCTACAAAGGCTCTGACCACAAAAAGTTGGTTTACGCAGGCAAGGTCAGGGATGTCTCCTGGAGAAAACACCCGGCTGGCAGATGAGGGGAAGCCTGCTGCCAACGGAACTAGGGAACAGCGTGCACAGACCCAGGAGAGAAAGACAAGGCATGTCCCAGAATGCCATGTACAACAGAAACGGCTCCCCTGGGTGTTCCAGGGGCGCCTCATACCATATTCAAAACTGACCCTTCTCCTCTCATCTTGAACAGCTCCTCTGTCTCACCCGGAGGTGCCACGCTCAGGGGGCATCTAGGTTACAGACTCTGGGCACTGCTAGATGGCACCTGCACTGTCTCCTTAGTCAAGTCCAGTGACAAATCACCAACTCCTCCGGTTTCTGTCACACAGATTTGTCTGGCAATCCATATCTTCACGCTCACTGCCCAGAAGGGACCCTCTTCATCCCTGCCCCAGTGGCACGGCAGGCTCCCTCTAGCTCCCTGCTTCTGCTCTTTTCTCTTCATTCCCCTTCCCGTGGCCATGCACACGCACATGCACATGCACATCCTTGAGCCAGAGTGATCGTCCTAAAGCTAAAGCGAAAATCTGCCTGAGAGCCGGTCTATGGCTGCCCACCCCTTCCAGGCTCCCTAACCTGGTTTGATCTCACTCAGAAAACCCCATGAGCAGCCCCGCTGAATTATTTCCACCAACTCCCCAAGCCCTCTCCCTTCTGCCAGTCTTTACATGTTCCATTCTCTTTGCCTTCTTGTCCTTCAAGAACCAGTTCTCCAGGGGGGTCTTCCTTGGCCCTTAGACCAGTGAGTTGCCCTCTTTCTATGCCCACAGCCTCCATTGTAGACTGGTCTGCAATTCTTTTGTGCCTTTCTCCTTGATCAGGTGAGCTCGTCCTAACCAGGTTGGCACTGTGCCCATCTGTGTATCCCTCACTCCCAGCATGGGCCTGACACAGAGTACGTTCTTTATTGGGTGGATGAAGGACTCTGGCATGGCCCGATGGCAGTGTGTGTGCCTCCCAAGTAGCTGGGAATACATACATACATACTTTCGCTGCCTCCACTGCAACCAGAAGCCCGCTGGCATCTCTGTTCTCTCTCTGTAAAGCTGCTGCCTCCTGACTTCACTGCCCTCTCCTGTCCACTTCCCTGACCATCTGGTTAAGGTTCTGTGGCCCATCATTTCATCTGCTCTTTGACAGACTCCTCAGAGTCCTTAGCCCCCTGCCCTTGGGTCCCACCCTCCCAGCCAAACCCCCTCCATGGACAAATCCACCTATCTGTCTTGGATGTGCCTGCCCCACTGTGAGTGACCATTAGAGAAATCTGCACACCCAGACAGCCTACCATCACTTGGGAACTCCCCTATCAAGTTCTCGGCTGAGGCCAGGCATGGTGGCTCACGCCCGTAATCCCCACGCTTCAGGAAGCCGAGGAGTGTGGATCACTTAAGCCCAGGAGCTCAAGACCAGCCTGGGCAACATGGCAAAAACCCTGTCTCTGCTAAAAATACAAAAAAAAAAGTTCTCAGCTGAATCTGCACTGCAGCTCGTCAGTGATGCTACATTTTCCTGGTCAGCTACTGCTCCCATAGTGACTCTGAAGTTCTCTCCACCCTCTTCAACCCCTACCCCACCCCACCCCACCCCACCCCACCACATCCCCTCCCTCTGTGCTCACCTCCCACCCCCAACACCACTCTTTACAGAAGACTTAGCCTCCTCCCTTTGTGTGAAGGCGACAACCCCCGACGGGAGCCCTTCACCACGGCACCCACCAAATCTCTCCTCCCTGACTCCTGCCTGTCCAATGGCCTTGGCAGCCCAGCAGAGGAATTTGGACTTTGTCCTCAGGACACCAGAAAACATGGAAAGACTTCCACCAGGGGAGTAGGGTACCGTGGCCTGAATAGGATTTAGGACTTGCTGGCTGCCGTGTGCAGCCAGAGATTGGCCATAGAAGAAAAAGAATGAAAAGAAATGGCCAGTCAATCTCAATTGGCCACCTAGGGACAAGAAGCAGCTGGCCCAGCTAGAAAGGTTGGAAAGAGTATCCCAGAAAGAAGGAATAGCACAAAGAAGGGTCCAGACCTGGAAATCTAAATCTAAATCTAGCTCATGCCTGTAAATCCCAGCACCTTGGGAGGCAGAAGCGGGAGGATGGCTAGAGTCTAGGAATTCAAACCAAGCCTGGGTGATACAGTGAGGCCCCATCTCTACAAAAAATAATTAGCCATGTGCAGTGGCACATGTATGTATTCCAGCTACTTGGGAGGCTGAGATGGGAGAATCACTTAAGTACAGGAGGTTGATGTTGCAGTGAGCTGTGATTGCCCCACCATACTGCAGCCTGGATGAACTTGTGTCAAAAAAAAAAAAAATAGGTGAGGTGGCTCACGCCTGTAATCCCAGCACTTTGGGAGGCCAAGGTGGGTGGATCACCTGAGGTCAGGAGTTCGAGACCAGCCTGGCTGACATGGCGAACCTTAATCTCTGCTAAAAATACAAAAATTAGCTGGGCATGGTGGTGGACACCTGTAATCCCAGCTACTCAGGAGGCTAAGGTGGGAGAATCACTTGAACCTGGGAGGCGGAGGTTGCAGTGAGCTAAGATTGCACCATTGCACTCTGGCCTGGGCGACAAGAGCAAGACTCCATCTCAAAACAAACAAACAAAAAGATGAAAATAAAATGTAGGCAGGACAATACTAGAGAAACCCAAAAGGTGTTATTAGAGGAAAAGGCTCATGGAAAGTGTCCTGGAAGGGGTAACATGGGAGCAGTGTCTTCTAGCTCTGAGTGATAAAGCCCAGCTCAGGAAAAATAGAAATGAGTGACAACTTTTTATTTTTATTCAAAATGAAAATAGATTAATTCCTGTGAAAAACATTATAACCAGATTACCCACTTTATTGATAGGAAAATATTTCATTAAGATGCTGGCCTGGCACAGTGGCTCACGCCTGTAATCCCAGCACTTTGGGAAGACAAGGCGGGCAGATCACCTGAGGTCAGGAGTTCAAGACCAGCCTGGCCGACATGGTGAAACGCTTTCTCTACTAAAAATACAAAAATCAGCTGGGCGTGGTGGCGTGCACCTGTAATCCCAGCTACTCGAAAGGCTGAGACAGGGAGAATTGCTTCAACCCGGGAGGCAGAGGTTGCAGTGAGCCAAGACATGCCGTTGCACTCCAGCCAGGGTGACAGAGTAAAACTCTGTCTCAAAAAAAAAAAAAAAAAAAAGCAGCAGCAGCTTAGCACTGGTTTTCACCTGCTCAAATGTTACCATCTGGCACATTTGTAATGCTGGCAGGTAGGCAGGTCACACAGGGCCTACTGACCAGGGTTTTCATCACAGTCAGAGAGGATTTAAAAGATTAGTGTAGGCAGGTGGGCCAATGCGAGCAAAGGTGGCTGGGGAAACTGCATGGGCAGTGATAGGAGGGAGAATAACATCTATTCTACGAGTAAAGTAGGGGAAGGCAAGAAAAGAAACCAAGAGGCCCTCTGGCCTGATCACAGAGGGCCTTAAGTCCACACTCAAGCCTTTGTTTGGCTTTGTCCTGAGAACAGCAGGGAGCCATTGAGAGTCATTGAGCAAGAGAGGGTTCATTGTCACTTTGGTGGCTAGTGTCAGGGAAGTGGGGATTGCTCCATCCCTGGCCAACCTTTAAGCCCCAGCCACCTCTGTCCCTGAGGTTCAAGACTCCGATGTCATAACCAGTCCTTAAGCTGTTGGGCATGGAGGTAGCAGGGAGTGTCCAAACACCAGAACTCAGAGGGAGAAGTGGTCCCTACTACTTTCTGTCCCCAGCTCTCCAGTCCCAGGCTGAATGTAATTGTCCTCGATGAAGCCGTCATCATCCTCATCTTCGGCCACCTGTGGGCAGACCCTCCTTCCTGTCTCGGGCAGTGGGCGGTGCCGGTAGCTGGCATGGTATCGGCGGCAGACGTGGCATTTGGCAGCAAGTGCAATGAGGAGAGAGAGGACCACAGCCCCCAGCACAACCCCTACCAGCACAGGCCATGCTAGAGCCCCAGTGCCTGGGCCAGGGGCCACAGCGGATGCTGTGGGGAGCTCCGAGGGCCCCACACGTGCTGCAGGGAAAGGGACAGCATTATAGGTGGGCCCCAGAGGGGGCTCCCTGGAGAAACCAAGAGGAGTGCAGGTAGGGTCCTTCCCCCAACCCCAGCAGCTAAGGGGAAGCCCCCCACTCCCATCATCCTCCCACTGTCACTCACTTTTGTTTGTCTCATTCATGGAGGGGCCTGATGACACCAGTGAGTCTCAGCCTCCGCCAGAAAAAGCCCTGGGTCTGAGGAGGCCCCGAGAAGCCAGGAAACCCCAGGGCACAAGTCCTGGAAAATAACATAGGTCTGGGTGTCAGGGACAGTCACAGGGTGCACCTTCCAGGTCATACAGCCATGGTGGCACTGCACAAACTCCGAGGCCTGGACACCTGACCACAACAGCTGTCCACGGAAGAGAAACAAGCTGAGCCTACAGAAACTGGCTATTTGTAAGGGACCGTCACAGGGTTTGGCTCTAGAAGCTGCTAAAAAAAATTAATTGTAGAACTTACTGAGCATTCCTTACAATTCGGGCACCAGGCATCACGCTCACGACACCCAGTAAGATGGGTATATACATTATCCCCACTTTGTAGATGAGGGCTCTGAAGCTAAGAAAGGTGAACTGACTCAACCAGAGCGTCCAGGTTCGAACCCAGAGCCCAGTCTGTTGCACAGCTTGGTAAGCTGAGGAGGAGAGACGGGGCAGAGGTGGGTCCTGGCTCCCAAGGGTCAGAAAACAGTAGTTGCTTGGAGCTACCCAGCCAAAGCGGAGACCACACATGGGGAGGATGATGCAAGTCCCTACCAAGGACAAGGGCCCTGGACACAGCCAGAGCAGCCCTGGCCCTCTCCCTCTAAGTTGAAAGCCGCTGCTGCCCACCTCTACCTTCAGCCCTTCAAGCAAACCCCTGTCCATTAACCTCTACTCACAGGAGGCCCATATTCTGCCCCCAGAGGGAGGCTTAAACCAGGGAGTATCCAAACGAGGATCACCTGAATCAGGAAATTATCACCCAGGGCTGGGGCACCTAGAGGAGGAACACCTGAATTAAGGGTGTAGCTGGAGGAAGGTCATCTAGGCTTGGAAAACCTGGAGGAGGAGCATGAAAGTTAGAGAAGTACCTGGAGGAGGAACGCTAGGGCTGGAGAGTGTCTGCAGGTGGAGCCCCTGAACCAGGGAGGCCTTGGAGGCAGGGTAGCCAGGCTAGGGAAATACTTAGGAGAGAAGTTGAGGGGAGTACCCTGGTATATTCTTTGATACAAGTGCCTTCAAAATGCCCCCCTACCTCCTCACGCCCAACCTGGCATCAAGCCCCATCAGCTCTTCCTCTAAGCATTTCTGGAATGACAGTACCCTCCTCTCCACCCCACTGCCACAGCTGAGTCCAAGCCATCTTCCTCTTGTACCCTGACCATAATCTCCTAACTGGTCTCCCCACCTCTGGTCTCTTCCCCAGGGTGATGGGCCTACAACCCAAATCTGACCCCATCACTAGCCTGCTTAAAATCCCTTCAAAAGCTTCCTGTGCCCCATGGTGCCTTGCCATCCAGCATGCGGCCCTCAAGCCAAACCCTTCTTCCTCCTCTTCTCCCCAGTTCCCTCCCCAGCACTTCAGACAGACACACACAGGCCCCCCTCCCACTCACCCACCCTCCTGCTCCCTGGCCACGCCCTCCTCAGCTTTGGGGGCCCGTTTGTCAAGGCCAAATCAGACCATACGTGCCTGTGAGGTTGTCCCTGAATCTACCCTGGGTGACCTGTCATCATCCTGCCCAGTCAACCACCAGTCAGAACCAGTCATTGCTAGGTGGGCAGCTCCCTGGGGGTTGAGGGGCAAGGGCTGGCTGAGGGATCTGTACCCGGGCTGGTGCTGCAGGGAGCTGGGCACTCAGCCGCTCAGTGCAGTGCTTGTGAAATCGATGAGGGGAGCGGAAGAGATGTCCTGGGAAGGAGAGGTCAGCTGCTCATTCATTCCTCAGCCTGCGGTGGGCCTCATCCTAGCACTTGGTCTGAAAAACGTGAGAACGTGCTATACTGGGATTAACTGAATTCAATCTGACGTTTCTAAGGTTGTACTCCTATTCCTTGCCTCCCTATCCTGTCCCTGTGAATTCCCAAGAAGACGCGCACAGACTAACTTTCCAAGAGCACGTAGACACTGTACAACAGGCCTCTGAACTCACAGCCCACACTGACCTGCCCATCACACACACACACACACACACAACCCCTCCCCCAAGGTCACACTTTCCTCCACCAGTAAACACACCCTCTGATATGCACAGACACCTACCCCCACTCCGTTGTGTAGCTTCTTTCCTGCTGCCAGGAGCCCCTGGGGATCTGTGCAGGGCCTGGGTACCCCCCTCCCCAGCCCCCCGAGCCTTCTCCTCGGTTCCCACCTTCAAGAACTGTGCACAGTCCGCGGAATAAGCTTCCGGCTGGGGCCGGCAGAACCTGGACAGGTGGGCGGGCCAAGGGCAAACGACTCACCTGCAGAAGCAGCGAGGGCGGGGCTGCGGCTGCAGGTCGGGCAGAGGGCGGGCTACAGGCAGCGCCTCCAGTGGGGAGGGTTCATTTTACATCTCCCCAAGCTTTTGCCAAGAACTTTATGGGTATATGCCTCACTCTCCCCCCTTAACACTGGGGGTTTGTACAGCTGGGACCCAGAGAAGGGTCCAGCGGGCCCTAGAGGGGCAGACACCTCAGCAGGCAGGTGCTCAGGCTGATAAACAAGTGAACTTCCGGTGGCTGGTACAAAGTCCAGAGTTGAGGAGGGAGCTTTGCAGGCCTGTAAGGGTGGTGGGCTGGAACCAGGGCGGGTGGGGACGGCATTCGTCCCAGGCAAAGCCAGAAAGTCCAAGAACACTCCAAACTTGCCTGTCAAATGTGTAAGTGTGTAGGGAGTGAGGGGTGGATGTGGATGGGGGCTCAGCCTTCACCTGGATCTCAGGATCCTGTGACCCCACCAGCCAGGCTCTGAACCTCTCCCAGGTGCTCTCTGATTCCCTTTTGCCCTACTCCTCGTCTCTGGGCCTGGTCCCCCTTGTTCTTTGAGTTCCAGTTCAAGAGTTACCTTCCCTGAGCCCTCCCTCTACCCTGCAAGCCCCCACTCTCCACGCCCAGATCACCCACTATCGCAGCATTTCTCATTATCTTGTGATTCTTCGCTCTCCCGGGGTCAGAGGGGCAGGCTTGGGCAGCCTGTGGGCTCCCGGCACAGTGCTAACCCAGGGCAGCCTCCCCGTAACTACCCAAGGGAGGAAGGACAGCATGCGCCAAGGTCTGGAGGCCCCGAATTCACAAGGACAGAAAGGGCACAGTGGGAGCAAGGGCTGCAGAGAGGCCAGGCATGGTGGCTCATGCCTGTAATCCCAGCACTTTGGGAGGTCGGAGCGGGTCGATTGCTTGAGCCCATGAGTCAGAGACTAGCCTGGGCAACATAGGGAAACCCCATCTCTACTAGAAACACAAAAATTAGCTGCATGTGGTAATGTTCACCTGTAGTCCTAGTTACTGGGTGAGCTGAGGTGGGAGGATTGCCTGAACCCAGGACTTTTAGGCTGCAGTGAACCATGATTGTGCCACTACACTTCAGCCTGGGCAACAGAGGAAGACCCTGTCTCAAAAAAATAAAGCGGGGGCTACAGAGTGGGGTTGCAAACAAGGCCTGGTAGGACTGTGGCTGGAAGGTGGGGGCCAGTTCACGCTTGGCCTTGAAGATCTTAGGATGAAATCTGAACGCTCAGGGCCATCCCTTCCCACCTTTCCTGCCTCCTCTGTGGCAGCTACACCAAACTATTTTCTTTTTATTCCGTTTTGTTTTTTTTTTTTTTTTTTTTTTTTTGAGACAGAGTCGCTCTGTCACCCAGGCTGGAATGCAGTGGCGTGATCTCAGCTCACTGCCACCTCTGCCTCCCGGGTTCAAGCTTGGGATTACAGGCACGTACCAACATGACCAGCTATTTTCGTATTTTTAGTAGAGATGGGTTTTCGCCATGTTGACCAGGCTGGTCTCAAACTCTTGACCTCAAGTGATCTGCCCACCTCAGCCTCCCAAAGTGCTGGGATTACAGGCATGAGCCACCATGCCTGGACACCAAACTATTTTCTATTCCCAGAACCCACCATGCTCCCTCATCTCCCTGGCTCTGCAGGCTCTGCTCCCTTTTCCTGGGACTCCTGCCTTTGCCACTCTCCCCTGTGCCCCTGCAGATGTGGCCTTTCTCCCCTGTATCCCTGAACACATAGGAATGTGATTTTCTCTTTAGTTTCCCCTGCCAGCCTATAAACTCTGGGGGAGGGCTCTGCATCTGTCTTATTTCCATCATATCCTCATATCTAAAATGGCAACAATACACACTTCTGAAATGAATTTGAGGAAAAGGAGGATTATCCTGGATGGGGCAACGAGGCACCAAGGAGGGCTTAGGGTTTTACTTTATTTTTGAAGCAAGGAAATCATGAAATTCCACTGATATTAAAAACCTACCTTGTCCTAGACACTGTGCCAGGTTTTGTTAAATTGAGGTATTCATATTCCATAACCTAATTCACAGTCCATAAAATTCCCCATGTTAGCCATTTTCGGGTACACGATTCAGTAGTGTTTAGTACATTCATAATGTCATGCAACCATCACTCTAATTCTAAAACGTTTTCATCACCCCAAAGGGATACTCCTGACCAATTAAGCAGTATATTCTCCGTGACCCTTTCGACCATTAATTTGTTTTCAGTCTATGGATTTGCCTGTCCTGGATATTTCATATAAATGGAATCATATTTGTGCCAGCTTTTTAATGAATGATTTCACTTCATCCTTGTAACCATGCTATGAGATAGATGTTAACTGTCCCTTTAACAGCAAAGGAAGACGAGGCTGTGAGAAGGTTAACTGGCATGAAGCCCTGCAGAGGAAAACAAGCAGAGGGTCTGCACGTCCATCATTCAGGAGTTTATTCAATAAATATTTTTTGAATGGCCACCAGAGTCACAGCCAGCCCACATGTCACACATTGCAAAATGGCAGATGCCAACCTGCTGGATGGCCCCACATCGTGGGAACAGAGGGCAGACTGGGTATCAGCACCCGCGGCTCCTCGGCCGGAAGCTCTAATGCAGTGAACAACCTTTACAACCTTCTGTGGCAGCCCTGACCACCATGAGGTAGGCTCTGTGCTAGCTGCTGGGACAGTTTGTGCCACCATAAAGCTTCCATTCTGGTGGATAGGATGAGCAATACACAAAGAAATAAATAAGATTATTTCAGATAACACTGAGTGTTGGGAGGAAAACGGCTTCATGATAGCCTCATGTGAGTGTAAGAGGCGGCTGCTACTTTAGATAGAAGAGGGGACTCACTGAAGAGGGCAAATTTGAGCTGAGATTGGCTAAGAGGGAGACAGTGACTGTGCCAGTATCTGCGAGCAGAGCATTCCAGGCAAAGGAAACCGCCAGCACAAATGCTGAGATGCAGGAGCACGGCTGGCTTGTTCAGCCACAGCAAGGTGGGCGCCGAACAGAGTACAGAAAGAGGGGGGCAGATCCGAGGGGCTACACTAGGGGCATGTCCAGAGCTATTCCTGAGGGGACTCCTGGGATCTCTCTGGGAGATGGGAAGCTGATGGAGGTTGGAGCAGAGGGCTGCTCTTTGCATTGTAAAGGAACCGGTCTGTCTTCTGCATGAAGTACGGACCAGGGGAGGCCGGGGTAGAAGCAGAGGGCAGGTTGGGAGGCTGCTGCAATCACCTAGGGGAAAGGACATGTGGCAGCAGGGAAGTCCAGTGGAGGTGGGGACAAGTGCTCAGACTCCAGATAGATTTTGAAGGTGAAGTTGACACAATTGGCTGATTAATTGTGGGCCTTTAGAAAAAGAAAGGATTCAAGAGTAACTCCAAAGTTTGTTTTTCTTTCTTTTTTTTTTTCTTTGAGATGGAGTCTCACTCTTTCTCCAGGCTGGAGTGCAGTAGAGCAATCTCGGCTTACCACAACCTCTGCCTGCCGGGTTCAAGTGATTCTCCTGCCTCAGCCTCCCGAGTAGCTGGGACTACAGGTGCACACCATCATACGCAGCTAATATTCGTATTTTTGGTAGAAACGAGGTTTCGCCATGTTGGCCAGGATGGTCTCGGTATCTTGACCTCGTGATCCACCTGCCTCGGCCTCCCAAAGTGCTGGGATTACGGACGTGAGCCACAGCACCCGGCCAACTCCAAAGCTGTGGCCTGAGCAACTTGAAGACTGGAGCTGTCATTTAATGAAGTGGGAGGAGTCTAAAAGGGCAGCTTTGGAAGGGAAACTAGGACCTCGGTTTTGGACGTGTTACAGGATGCCTGTGAGCTATCCTGTAGCATCCTAAGTACAGTGTAGCATCAAGTGGCTTGGATGCAACCGGCGGTGGAGACTAGAAACACACCCTTAGGAGCCAACAAAATGTGATGATTTTCAAAACCAGGCATCTGGATGAGATCCCCAAGGATAAGTGTAGAGAGAGAAGAGCCGTAGATGTGCCAGGAGCAGAGGTCAGGGTGGGGAGGAAAAGCAAGAAAGGAGAACAGGGAGGGCCCACGTGGGAGGAAGCAAGTACAGGAGGGTCCTGGCCGGGGAAGAAAGCGTTTCAAGGGCAACGGCTTAGCTAGCTTGGTTAGTCAAATGCTGCAGGTAAGTTTGTGAAGATAAGGAATGAAAACTGACCTTTGACGTTGGCAAAGTGGGGATCACTGGTGACCTTGACAAGAGTATGGTTTTTTGTTTTGTTTTGTTTTGGCGTGGTTTGGTTTTTTTGAGATGGAGTCTTGCTCTGTAGCCCAGGCTGGAGTGCAGTGGTGTAATCTCAGCTCACTGAAACCTCTGCCTCCTGGGTTCAAGCGATTCTCCTGTCTCAGTCTCCCAAGTAGCTGGGAGTAGGCCCCGCTGGCACTAGGTCTGTAATGGGAGCCTTAGGAAGCTTTCCCCTGATGGCTTCCATTTATCCAGAGATACAAGAAGCAGTGTCCTCAGCTGAGTGAAGAGCAGGAAGGGGGTGCTGAGACCGAAGAAGAAAAGAGAAGGTATGAATTCACCACCCCAGAGCATGGCAAAGAGAAGGGACCCAAACCGTGTAATGGGCTTGCCAGACAGCCTCAGGCCCCCTTTAAGGTAGATAGGCAAGGTCAGTGAGGGTGTCTGAGAGTTTTCCTTTTCTAGTCCCTCCACGCGCAGGTGGGGAGACGATGGAGAGATGGGTTTCACCAGGATTGGGGATTTGCTGGGCAAATGTGATAAAGCAAGAGCAGGGCGGGCAAGGGAGCTGAGCTGCAGGCTAGGGAGTGGTTGTAACGATGGACCACAGTATCTGGAGAGGGTAAAGGGGCAAGTGGGGACAGAAGGGTCTGGGGAACCCAAAAAGGTGGTAGGATCAATGGATTTTAGGATGGATTGCTGGTGTACTAAAGAGTGAGTAGAAAAAAATGGATAAACAGGAGG